CGCGCACGCGCACCCGGCTTCGCCCCACGTGAACGGTCGCTGCTTTGTGAGGTGGCTCCGAGGCCCAGGAGCGGAGGGGGCGGGAGCGTGCGTCAAGGGACGGTGCTAGGCCGTGCAGACACGCCCGGGGTCCCGCCTCTCCTCCCCGCCCCGCCCCAACGGTCGCGTAGTGTGAGACGGCTCCCTTGCCCGGCTGGACAACTCGGGCACGCCCCTGAAGTTGGGCCCCGCCCCCTGCCCCGCCCGGCATTGTGAGGCGGCCTGCGGAGGAGCCGGGTCTAGCTGCAACGAGGCGCCGCCCCGATACTTGCACTGCTCCTTCCCACTGAGACTGGCTTTGTGACGTGAACCGCACAGGGGTGGGGTGGGGCGGGGCAGGAGTGAGGGGCGGAGTTAGGCCCGACGGACACGCCTCCATCCCATAGCCCCACCCAGCCCCCTCCTCGCTGCCTGTAAAGGTCTTTTGAGATGGATCCAGGGCACTACCTAATCTGAGCCCCATCTGGGCGTCCCCTCTCCCCAGGACTCAACCGCTCCTTTTGGCGTCCCCATCATTTCCGTCTTCTTCCCACAGCCCCCTCAACCATCCTCGGAGTTCACTGTCTCCTCCCAGAAAGAAAAACTCTCCAACCATCCTCCCTCAACTGCCCAGTGGGCCTTCTCAGTCCCTTCCTCCTTTGAGTAACTCTCCCCTTCCGCAAATGATTGATGCCTAGTGAATCCTGCAAAGCCCAGCCCTTTTCCCCACACAGGTATCTTCCATTGGAGCCTTCTTCCTCCCACCCCCCTACCCCCATCCCAAGTCCCCATCCCACTTCCCACCCTCCCCAGCTCCTAGCCTTCCCTGAACCTCCTCATTTACTCCCTGTCCTACCCAATACCCTCCCCCCATCATTCCACCTCTTGTTCCACCAGAAACCCAATGTAGCACCCCCATGGGCCTCCCCATATCCACCCTGATCATAGCCCAGGGAGGGGAATGCTTTGGACTTAGTGAACACGCCCTGCCCCACCCCCTAGACCCCCAGCTTCCTGTCTTGAAAAACAGCACTACAGAGAGAACTTGGGACACCTCAACATGTTTATAATGAATAATTTAGGCATGCCAGCAGGGCAGACACAGGGGACACACCTCAGAGTACTATCAGTGCCCGTGCCCGAGTCCAGTGCTGGGGACATGGGCCTGCAGGGGCCCAGGGAGAACACAAACCTCTTGTGGCCCAGTCTGTTGTTGTTGTTGTTATTTTCCGTGTGGCCCAGTTATGGAGGCAAAAGTATCCATCCCCATCTCTTAGCCTGGTGGTCCTGAGAAGCTGAGAATCCAAAGAGGCGCTTCCTGCTGGCTGGCTGTCCAGGTTGCAGGCCAATGCCTATGCCCCCGCCCCCGGCCCCCATTCCTGCTTCTCTGTGAGGAAAGCCTCAAGGCCAGAGGCCCCTTCATCTCCTCTGTTCAGTTCCCTGAGAAAAGGAAGCCAGAGCCCCCAGTAGTAGCTGGAAAGAGCACAGACCCCACATGGCTCAGCCAGCTTGAAGGAGAGGGCTGAATGGAGGGCGCACAGGTATAGGGAGCCCTAATGCTCAGAGGGGGGCTCGGAAAGTGCTGAACTCTGGGAGCTCGGGTGAGGAGGAAGTGGAGGTGGGCCTCTTCCGGGGTCCGGACATGCCAGAGGGACCAGTGGAGCCAGTGTGAGCATCCAGAGTGGCCGCTGCTTCTTCTGAAGCCATTTTCTTTATCCGCGGAAGGAAAAAGGGAGAGAACTGGGTGATTTGAGGGTTCAGTATCTCGAGCTTCCCCATGTTCTGAGCCTGAGACTCCTCAGCCCATCAGATCACATCTCACTGCACACACACACACACACACACACACTCAGCTTCAGGGCCCTTCTGTTCATCCAGTGTCCAGGTTTCAGTCCTCCCATCCTCCTTTTTGTTGAGTAGGGGGTCTAGACAACCTTGGTTCAAGTCCCAGTTCCACCATTTCCTGGCTGTGTGACCTTGGCCAAGTGACTCAACTCCTCTGTGCCTCGGTTTCCCCCCTGCATAATGGGGAGAGTGCTAATACCTACCTCCTGGGGTTGCTCTAGGAGCCCTGGTGACTCAGTGGTTAAGCACTCAGTTGCCAACCAAAAGGTCAGCATTTGGAACCCACCAGCCTCAGGAGAAAGACATGGCAGTTCCAGATGACGGTCTTGAAAAGCCCAGGGGAGCATTTCTACTCTGTCCTATAGGGCTGCTATGAGTCGGAATCAACCACAACAGCCAGGCTACTACAGGGCTTAAAAGCATCAAATTGATGAAGTGCCGGCACATCATAAGCACCATCAAAGAAATGAACAAAGCTAATACTATTACCTCCTTCTCCCTTCCCAGGCCCAGCTTCCTCAAAACCTTCTTCAAAAGTCTACCCACTCTTCTGCTTTGCAGTCAAAGTCAAGGAGAGATGAACTTGATAAACTATAAGCCCCTCCCTAGCTACGCAACTCCAGTAAGCCCCATAACCAACCTCAGTGTCCTCATCTGTAAAAAGAACAGTCAACTCCCACCTCATAAAGTATGATGATAAAGTTGACTATCAGGCTCTCAACCTAGTAACACAGTAAAAGAAACCCCCCACACCAAAAAAAAAGGAGCTCTGGTGTCGCACTGCCTAAGACATTTGACTGCTAACCAGAAGGTTGGTGGTTCAAATCCACCAGCCACTCCACAGAAGGAAGACTGCTCAATGCAAAAAGAAAAAGAACTGTAAATCCCATTACTAAATATATATCCTATAGAAGTGAGAGCCAAGACACAAAAAGAGATGTGCACACCCATGTTCATCACAGCACTAGTCACAATAGCAAAGAGATTAAAACAACCTAAGTGCCCATGAATGGAAGAATGGATAACCAAACTGTGGTACAAAAACACAATGGAATACTATGCAACACTGAAGAATAAAGTAGAATCTTCAAAACACCACATAATGTGATAATGTGGATGAACTTGTAGGACATTATGCTGAGTGAAATAAGTCAATCACAGAAGGATAAATATCGTGTTAGTCCACTATTATAAAAAGCCAAGGAAAGGTTTATACATTGAAGGAAACTTTCAGGGGTAGGAGGAGAGAGGTGGGGAGGGAAAATTCCTAGACAAGTTGGAAAAATAAATAAATATACATATATGTGTGTGTGTGTATGTATATGTATGTATGTATATGTATGTGTGTGTATATATACATATATATATATGTATATATATATATAATATATGTTGTTATTGTTATGTGCCTTCAAGTC